GTAGTAACGCGAGAAATCAGATCAACTCAAGTTTGTCACACACATATATACAGATGCTCATTAACAACACTATTTCATTCAAACATGCATTATAAAACTTCAAAAGTTATAATATTAATCAAAGGTGAGGCAAAAAATGAACCTTTATATGAATCTGGGCTTTTGATTTGGCAATTGGAACGACCATGACACACTAACCAGAGAGCCTCGTCACTGACCTCGAACGGATTCAACTCGACTGAGCTTGGACAACGGTTTTGGATGTCAAAATGGGTTGTTTTATGGTGGAGTTTGGAGGCTGTTTTGAGGTGATTTTCTGTTGGTTTCAAGTGTGGGTTCGAGTGAAGTTTCAGTTGGTTTTCATGGCTGTTTCAAGGCTGTTTTCAGGTGGGTTTGGGGTGGATTTCCAGCTCATTTTTGGGGGTGTTGAACTGGAGAAAAGTGACTGTTTTGGGGTATTATCGGCAGTTGTGGGTGGACTGATTTTCAGCTCGTTTTTGGGTTGTTTTCAGCTCGTTTTTGAGCTGTTTTGAGGGAGTTTTGGGGCTGGATTTTCAGCTGATTTTTGGGGGTGTTGAACTGGTAAAAAGTGACTGCTTTGGGGTGTTATCGACAGCTGTGGGTGGACTGGTTTTCAGCTCATTTTTGGACTATTTTCAGCTCGTTTTTGAGCTGTTTTGAGGGAGTTTTGGGGCTGGATTTGCAGCTCGTTTTCTTTGCTAGTTCCTCCTCTTTTTTTGTATGTTATGTGTGTGTTTTATAGCTGAAAATGGGGTATGGGGTTTGTGATAGGAGACAAGCATGGGGAACAATGGAGAGAGTAGGGAGCAAAGTGTGGGGGGACAAACATGGGGGGACAAATGAAAGTGGAGTGGGGAACAAGCATGTGGGATAAGCATGGGAGACAAGTATGGGGGACAAAAAAAAATTGAGTGGGAATACGCCTGGGAAGCGGGAAATATTCAAGTACGGTCAAAAATTAAGTACTCACAAGTGGAATACAAATAGATTATAATGTTGCATTCTAAAACACGAGAGACTCTTCTCCATTTTCCATACTCACCATTTCTCATACTTTTCATTTTTCTAAATTCGTATTGGACGAGAGCCACATGGCATAGTGAAAAAATTAAAGGTTGACATTTAATTAACTAAACAAGGTCCTAACCATGGTTAGGATAATTAATATTCTTTTATCTTTGTTCTAAATATTTTTGCAATCCCATAATTATAGTTGCATATATCTCTTTCCTAAAAATATTAGAAGAAATTCTCTCTTTTCTAGAGTAAATTCTTTTCAATGTATCATTTTTTTTTTCTTCCATTTCTACGAGATTTTGTTACACTTGTGATATCTTCAAATAAATATTAGAAAATTGCCTCACAAACTTTTTCTTCCCTCAATATGTTTACGATATTTTCTCATAAACATTGTTTACATTTCCATTCAAAGACGAAAAATATTAGATCTAAACTCTAACTATTGATAATAAAATTAAAGAACAGTACACCACAATATTTGTCAGATAAAAAGTGAAAAAGAATCTATTTGATATAAAAATTCCACCAGGTTATCTCCTCTAATGAAGAAATTCACTCCTAGAGAAATGACACTCTCTTTTAAAATTAGCTATCAATAAAAATTACGTCTGTAGCAAGCTAGTAAAGATTAAGGGTGTGTTTGATACGAAGGAAAATGTTTTCCTTGAAATATTTTCTTGGAAAATGAGTGATTTTATTACTTATTTTTCCTTGTTTGCTTGGTGAGTGAAAAACTTTTTTTCGAAAAATATTTTCTAGTATTTGTTTAGAGAGTAGAAAATATTTTTTAAGAAAATATTTTGTTATGCTATTCTCATCACCCCCTCCCCCCTTCCCCCAAATTCTCATGTTTCCTGTACCCCTCCCCAACCCCAAATACCCAACGTTTTTAGTAATTTATTTTCTTAAAAAATTTAATTAATCTTTTAAAAATTCACACAAACTCAAATGGACTAATGTGCTGCTTTACTTTTTCACACAAAAACAACGTTGAAATTTGTGCTTCATACTATGAAGAAAATACTCTTTTTTGGTTGAAAAAGAAAGTATTTTTTCTACAACATGAAAAAAGTACTCATTTTGTTAAAATGAAAGATAATACATTTTCTACATCATGAAAAGAAAATACTCATTTTGTTGAAATCGAAAAAAAATCATTTACTACATCATTTTGTTGAAATGAAAGAAAATATTTTTTTCTACGTCATGAAAAAAAGTATTTTTTTTGTTTAAATGAAAGAAAATACTTTTTTACATTATGAAAAAAAAACTCATTTTGTTGAAATGAAAAAAAAGTACTCTATCTACAACATGAAAAGAAATAACTCTTAATAATATTTCTATTTAGGGTGGGAATGGAGCGTGGTGGGCGAGGTTGGG